GTGTGCAGCTGAACTTCTAGAACATCTCACTGTGGGCCACCTGTGTGCGTGTCTGTGTGCAGACGGCACCATCGCTCCCACTGGGGCCCCTGCCCCCACTGCGGTCTGGCCCGAAGGGCTCAGGCTCTGTCTGGGGGTGAATCTTGGCTCCCCTGGGGCTCAGGGTGGGAGTGAGGGCATTACTATCACCTCTGGTGACCTCATTGTCGGCTGGCATTATGATGTCACCGGCCCAGCATTCTGGGTTCCTGCCTGGGCATCTCCAAGTCCCCCAGGTGAAGACACTCCCTGGGGTCTGTGACAACTCGCCCCCCCCAATCCACATAAAGGTGACAGGCACGGTAACAACCCTGGGGTGTGGGGGCAGCCTTGGGACGGCTGGGTCACCTTGCCCTGGGCTACTTTGTCAGTTGCATAGGTAGAGCAAAGGTGGTCACACAGCAGGGTGACACACTTGGGCTCTGGGTTCAAATTCTAACCAGTCATTTGACCTTGACCTGACAGTTTGATCCTCTTTGAGCATCAGTTTCCTCATCCCTGAAACTGCTTAATAGTTTCTATTTCCCTGGTTTCCATGTAAAGCTTAGGAGCACAGAGCCTGAGATCTAGTCGGTGCTCAATAAATGCTGACTGATAGGGTTAGTAAGTTAAGGGACCCTGAGCATCGCTTGGTGCTGGGAGCTGGTTGGAGAGGGGTGGGTCTGTGTCTTCTGGGGCTAGCTAGAGCCTGGGAGGAGAGGCAGGGGGATGGTCCCAGTGTCAGGAGAGAGGCCCCAGCTTTGACTTCCTGCCTTCCCAGCTTAGCCTGTGAGCTAGAGCCCATAGGAGGTTGGGTCCCATGGCCAGGCCCTGAGGCCAAGAACCCGCTGACCCTCAGGCTCCTCCCTAGCAATCTCTGCTTCCCCTGCCGTGGGCCAGAGTGGGCTGGGGGCTCTTAGAGCCATGGGCTCTGCATGTCCAACTGCTTTCTCTTGGTCCCTAGGTCCCTGAGTCTAGGATTCTCCTCAGCGCTGTTTCCGTGTCTGTCAGAACCTCAAGTCTCCGAGCTGGGCTAGGAGCCTTGGATCTCTCTGAGCCCGGTCCCTCTGTTTCCTGCTTCCCATGAGGCTCTGTTCTCTAACCTTGACCCTTTGCCCTGTCCTCTCCAAGTTCCTCTTTCTCTGACCCGCCCCTCGAGTTCTGTCTCATGATCCTCTATCTGCACCACCTGTCTCTGTTCTTCTGCACCCCCCCCCGTGTCCCCCTCTACCCCCCAGCTCTCCAGGACTGGTTCCCCCCCACCCCCCTCCCTCTGGGTTCTGTCCCCGCCCGTCAGCCCCTGGTCCCAGCTCCCGGCCGGCCCGGCTCCTGCATGGACAAAGGGGTCCTTTGTGGGCTGACCGCGGCTGGCGGGGCGGCGGGGCGCTGGCTCCGCATTGCTGATGAAACGGAGCCCTTTGTTGTCCCTCCTCAGGCGCAGTATTTCTTTTTGGGGGCTGGATGCGTTCCTGGCAGGGCCGATGATGGATGCGCCCGCCGCCGCCCGCCTGCCCGCCAGCTTTCCCTCCCGCTCATTCCCGCTCCGCTTCAACGCAGCCCCAGCTCCTCCCCTGCTGCCTGGGCACTGCCAGGCCCTTCCTGGCCTGCGAGGGGGTTGCTGTGTGCCTTGCAGTAGAGGGCTGGGGCCTGGGAGAAGGTCTTACGTCCTCTCTGCCATGAGGAGGGCAGACAAGCCCTGTGGTCCATGGTCCACTGGGACCAGGGCATCAGCTCTTCCCAGGGTCTAAATGAGATGAGCCAGGTATAGGGGCAGATTTTGAACAAGCTTAGAGACCGGGCCTTGGGGACTAACTAGATGTTGGTATCTGCCCACTCTGGGGTTTGAGGACAGAGTTAACCTGGGTGCCAGTCCCCCTTGTGTACTCCCCACCTTCAGTTTCTGTGGCTGACAAACCAGTGTTCTGCCTGCGGCACCTGTTTGATGACATATCCCGTCCTCTGCTCCATAGCTCAGTAGGTCCCAGGACCTGGGGGGCTCGGAGAGGGAAGTCCCTGAGGAAGGACAAAAAAAAAAAAAAAGAAAGAAAAGGTTAGAGAGATTCAAAGAAGGGGCCACAGATGAACAGAACATGAGGTTTGGTCCCTATGACGAGACTCAGGATGGAGACAAAAGCAGAGAGAGACTCAGCCAGAGCACCAGCCCTGAACGCCCGCCCGTGTTGGAGGGAGCTGACTTCTAATTGACCTGCCCGCCCTGCACACAGAGCCAGATCCTGGAGCTGGGAGGAGGGAGGGAGGGAGGAGAGCAAGAACAGCGTTAATGCAGCTATCGATTTCTGCCACCAGCCAGCAGGCCGCAGAGGCGGGGACACACAGGGGGGCTAGGGCACGGACTGCCCCCCTCCCCACCTCTCCCCCACCTCTCCAACCCAAGGGCTCCTGCCTTCTCCTGTCTTCTTCCCTCACCATGTCTGGGCCTGCTGGCACCGTGCGCTCCAGGGCAGGGTAGTTGAGCTCAGATGGGCTGATATGGTCACTGGCCCTAGTCTCCGACACCGCGCCAGGGTCACTGCCACCTAGAGGGGTGCTAATTTCTGAGGGAGGGCCTGAAGAGCCACCCTGGGCTTAGCTCTTAGCAGGTGGGACAGAACACGGCTATTGTACCCGATCCCTACCTCTCAGTACAACTCTGACCTCTGTGGTACCCCCAGCCCAGCCTGGACACCCTGCCAGGCCTTCCTGGGTTTGTCCTGGTAGAATCTGCCAGCTTGCCCAGCTCTTCCTTGCCACCCATCTGCCTTCACTAGAAAGGAGTGTACGTGGGCCATTGCCCTCTGGGGAGAGGCAGGGAGCGTCTGGCTGTCTGCTGATGCCTGCCATTTTTGCCTCACTCAGGAGACAGAGCTTTTCCCTCTCCTACACTCGCTCCTCCTTGTGGCCACTCCTTAGCAGTCCCGGAGCAGGGGGCCCTGCCGGCTTGGGCCTCAGTTTCCCCCTGTGGAAGCGCAGAAGGTTGGACTAGATGACCTCCTGGGACCAGGGACCAGGCCTGGAAGAGTCCTGTGACTGGGGGATGGTGGGGTTGCCTGGGGACAAAGATGTATGTGTGCCGCCCCCAAGCCTAGGGCGGGACAGCCCTGGCCAGATGTGCGTGCCCCTCCACCCCCCCGAGCCACCAGCTGCTCAGGCTGGGCCCTCCCTCCCGCCCCTCTCCCAGGGGTTGCTGGGCCAGGCAGGCAGGCAAGGAAGGGATGCTAGAGAGCCAGGGCCGATGAGGAAACTGCCATTCCACTCCTTCTGGACAGTTCGTTCCAGAGCTCCTGACCAAGGAGCCTGGCTGCTCATAAGCCTTGATCCTGGGGCTTGAGCAGAGCAGGCTCTGTCCTAGGAAGGGCACCTCAGAAATGTGGATGTGGCTGAAGAACAGGCTCTGTTCCCTGGAGGGTCACACCCACTCTCAGTCCAGCCTGCACCAGCCAGAGGCCCCTCCTGCCCACAGCCTACCCCAGCTCTGGGCTCTCGCTGGGACCTCATCCCAGACCCATCTGGGAGCCAGGCCGGAGCACAGCAGGGAGGCCTGAGTAGAGACAAGAGTGGGGTCTGAGGTAACGACGACTGTGGTTTGAGAGTGAAGAGGGGGCGCCTGGGTGGCTCAGTCGGTTAAGCATCTGCCTTCAGCTCAGGTCATGATTGCAGGGTCCTGGGATCGAGCCCCGCATGGGGCTCCTTGCTCAGTAGGGAGCCTGCTTCTCCCTCTCCCTCAGCCTGCTGCTCCCCCCTGCTTGTGCTGTCAAATAAATAAATAAAATCTTTAAAAAAGAGAGAGAGAGTGAGGAGGAAGCGTGTGCCGATATGTGCACAGTTTGTTCTCCCACTCTTACAGGAGAAGGCTTATCCTCTGGCACAGTGCTGCCTGCTCTCAAGCAGGAGGATACATGCTCCTTGAAATACGGATTCTGTGCTCTATTTGGCAACCTCTTTAAGTCAGTTTCCTTTCCCTGCAGGACTTGTCAGAGCCTTGAGATAATCCATATGTATTAGGAATTGCCAAATGAGAGTCTGGGAGCAGCTTCCCAGACTTTTTTTTTTTTTTTAAGATTTTTTTTAATTTAGAGAGAGAGCACTCACAGGAGTGTAAGCAGGGGGAGGGGCAGAGAGAGAGAATCTCAAGCAGATACCCCGCTGAGCGCAGAGCTCAACGCAGGGCTGGATCCCACGATCCTGAGATCACGTTTTGAGCCGAAATCGAGTCGGATGCCCCTACTCAGCCACCCAGGCATCCCAACTTCCCAGACTTCTGGTCTAAACCTTCAAGCTTTGCAGAGGCTGTTCCAAATCCTTTTGTAGATGGGTCAGGGAAGGAAGATTAGGAAGCAAAATGTGACTCTGTAACGCTCCGAGGTTAATAAACATCTCAGTTGTTTCCTACCCCCCAGCCCAGGAAGAACGGGCCGGAGATCTGGGCTGTACAGACCCTGGCTGAGCCTCCACCGTGACACTCGGCAACTGTATATCCATGGTCAAGTCTTCTAAACCTTGCATTCCTCATCTACAAAATAGAGAATTATTAGCCACCACTTCAAAGGGTGCTTGTGAGTCTTCACTGAGATAGTACAAATGGGGCGTCTGGGTGGCTCAGTCAGTTAAGCGTCCGACTCTTGGTTTCGGCTCAGGTCATGCTCTCAGGGTTGTGGGGGATCGAGCCCCGCATCGGGCTCCGCGCTCAGCGCAGTCTGCTTGTCTGCTTGTCCCTCTCCCTCTGCTCTCTCCCCACTCGTGCTTGCTCACTCTCTTTCTATCTTCCCTCTCTCTAAAATAAATAAATAAAACCTTAAAAAAAAATAGTACACAAAAAATACCTAACCGTGTTGGGTCTGGCGCGTAATAAGTGCCCAGCAGGGCTTGCGGTGGTTACAGTGGGCTCTCGGAGATACCGTTGTTGGTCGTGGTGGTGGTGGTGGTGATGTGGGGGAAGGAGATGTCTACCGCCGCCCTGACTCTGTCCCCTCTTGTCCCAACAGAGTGAAGACCCTTCCCGTGCACACCTGACCATGAGCCTGCCCTGAGCAGCAGGGCCCACCAGGCATCTGTGCTGTGGGCAGCCGGGCCGGTGCTCGTCTGTGGACGCCCCGCGGTTGGCAGCCCCCCCCCCCGCCCCCAGCAGTGGGCTCTGGGCCTCGGCCCCACCATGTCGAGCCTCGGCAGCAGCCCCCAGGACAGCGGTGGCAGTAGCAGCAGCAACAGCGGCGGCGGCCCCAAGGCGGGAGTGGCCGACAAGAGCGCGGCGGTGGCCACGGCCGCGCCAGCCTCGGTGGCGGATGACGCTCCGCCCCCCGAGCGTCGGAACAAGAGCGGCATCATCAGCGAACCCCTCAACAAGAGCCTGCGCCGCTCCCGCCCTCTCTCCCACTACTCTTCCTTCGGGGGCGGCGGCGGCGGCGGCGGCGGCAGCAGCCTGATGGGCGGCGAGTCTGCTGAAAAGGCGGCCGCCGCCGCAGCTGCCGCCTCCCTGTTGGCCAATGGGCACGACCTGGCGGCGGCCATGGCCGTGGACAAAAGCAACCCTACCTCAAAGCACAAAAGTGGTGCTGTGGCCAGCCTGCTGAGCAAGGCGGAACGGGCCACGGAGCTGGCAGCCGAGGGACAGCTGACGCTGCAGCAGTTCGCGCAGTCCACGGAGATGCTGAAGCGCGTGGTGCAGGAGCACCTGCCGCTGATGAGCGAGGCGGGCGCCGGCCTGCCCGACATGGAGGCCGTGGCGGGCGCCGAGGCCCTCAACGGCCAGTCCGACTTCCCCTACCTGGGCGCCTTCCCCATCAACCCGGGCCTCTTCATCATGACCCCGGCGGGCGTGTTCCTGGCCGAGAGCGCGCTGCACATGGCCGGCCTGGCCGAGTACCCCATGCAGGGAGAGCTGGCCTCGGCCATCAGCTCGGGCAAGAAGAAGCGGAAACGCTGCGGCATGTGCGCGCCCTGCCGGCGGCGCATCAACTGCGAGCAGTGCAGCAGTTGTAGGAACCGAAAGACTGGCCATCAGATTTGCAAATTCAGAAAATGTGAGGAACTCAAAAAGAAGCCTTCCGCTGCTCTGGAGGTAACGACGCCTTAGAGGGAGGTGTGTGGGCTCTTGTGTCTGTCTGGCAGTCCAAACCCACCCCACCCCCCCAACCCTCCTTTTCCTACCTGGGCCAGTGTCTGGGGGGTGCTCAGCCAATCCCTGGGCTCTGGGGTTCTGGAGCAGGCTCCCAGACACCAGTTCATCGCCCAGAAAGTCAGCACCACATCCTGAGATCTCATTAGGTCGTAGTTCGCAAGGCAAGCATCGAGTTCCAGGCGGGGGCCTCGCATTTCCGGCCAGGCCCAAGGATTCTGAACCCCTTCCTGGAGTTTTGGGCCAGCCATTGAGGTCCCAAGTTTCTGACTTTCAGACGTATCCTAAAGTTTCCAGTCTGTGCCCTAAGATTCTGGGGCTTTCCCTTGCCCCACCTGAGGGGTTCTGTCCTGTGGGCCATGTGGCTTTAAGGGGTAAAGCCCCTCACTCACCCCTTCAGAGCCCAGCCTTTCCCCTAAGGCCGCCCCGGTGCTCACTGCCCTGCCCCGAGGCCTGGGAGAACCCTGCGTCTAGATATCTCGTTGACGGATTTGGGGTTTCTTGGGGCCCTGAGGTCAGTCTGGCTGTGTAGGTAAATGGCCAGGGGTCCTATGGGCCTAGGGTGAGGGGGTGGTTGTGATCTTGGGGTGTAGGCCAGGCCTGTCCACTGTGGGATGATTGGCTTTCCGGGGAAATCACCACATAGCCGCATGGTCTAGGCCAAGGCAGCCTGCACAGGAAGGGGCTTAGAGCAGGCAGAAGGGTTCCCATGCTGCTTTCTCTCCACGCTCATGGCAGAGCTTGTCCCTGTGCCCCCAGCCGTGGCAGCCTAGCGGTGGTGCCAGGCCTGGTACAAAAGCATCTTTTCAGCCTGCTGTCCCGGCCCCGGCCCCGCCCCTCTATGAGTGGGCTGGACGCAAATGTTCAGAATGGTTGGAAAACAATGACATCCCAGCCGTGGCTACTCCCCACCCCCAAGGCCCAAACCTCATATATCTGCTCTCCTGCCCAGAGAACACACCTATATGCACGCAAAGGCACCCGCTCTCATCTCTTGTAGACAAACACACACACACGCACGCACACACCCCTCCCTGCCCAGTCCACAGTCTTTCTATAGACGTAGCCTCTTAACACAGCCGGTCTCCCTCGTCCCCACCCCAGCCGCACACGCACTAGCCACCGTGGCCCAGCTCGGGGTGCACATCCACACGGGCAGCCGGTGCGCACGCTGCCACGCTCGTTCGACAGAACCACGCACACAGCCCCCAGACGCACCACAGCCACCTGGCGCGCGTGGCCTCTGGACCGGGGGAATGGGTCTTCCTGTTTGGAAGGAGGAGGGTTCCTGGACACAGTGGCTCAGGGGGCCTCGGGGTGCTCCGGGCCCTGCAGCGGCCCCGCGGGTCAAGGCTTCTTCTCTGGCCCGGTCAGGATGGCAGGAACTCCACGGGGTGGCTGCCTTTACTCCAGGCCCGTCCCTCCGCCACGAGGCCCTCCACGGGGGAGCGTCTTTGCACCAGGCCCCGCCGGACCCTGACTGAACTCTCTCCTTGTTTTTGTCTCCCGCCCCCGCCTTCAGAAGGTGATGCTTCCGACGGGAGCCGCCTTCCGGTGGTTTCAGTGACGGCGGCGGGAACCCAAAGCTTGCCCTCTCCGTGCAATGTCACTGCTCGTGTGGTCTCCGGCAAGGGATTCGGGCGAAGACAAACGGATGCACCCGTCTTTAGAACCAAAAATATTCTCTCACAGATTTCATTCCTGTTTTTATATATATATTTTTTGTTGTCGTTTTAACATCTCCACGTCCCTAGTATAAAAAGAAAAAGGAAAAAAAAATTTTAACTGCTTTTTCGGAAGAACAACAACAACAACAAAAAAAGAGGTAGCGACGAATCTATAAAGTACCGAGACTTCCTGGGCAAAGAATGGACAATCAGTTTCCTTCCTGTTGTCGATGTCGATGTTGTCTGTGCAGGAGATGCAGTTTTTGTGTAGAGAATGTAAATTTTCTGTAACCTTTTGAAATCTAGTTACTAATAAGCACTACTGTAATTTAGCACAGTTTAACTCCACCCTCATTTAAACTTCCTTTGATTCTTTCCGACCATGAAATAGTGCATAGTTTGCCTGGAGAATCCACTCACGTTTATAAAGAGAATGTTGATGGCGCCGCGGCGAAGCCCCTCTGTACCCATCCACGCGGGCCGAGCTGCGGCCAGGAGCTCACAGAGGGGGAGGGAGCAGCCCCCCCACCCCTGCGCCCGGGCTGCCCACGCTGCACTCGCGGTCCCCAGAATGGGATCCCCCACCCCGACAACAATGATTTTGCGAAAATGAAAGTTCTGTTCCTTTATCCATTGAGATCTGGGGAGCCCATGTCTCGATATTTCCGATCCTGGCTACTTCCCTTAGAGAAAATAAGTCCTTTTTTTCTGGCCTTGCTCATGGCCACAGAAGAAAGGGCTTCTTTGCGTGGCCCCCTGCCGGTGGGTGTGGGTGCCCCGGGGGGGGGGCCCTGCGGCCTGGGCCCCCTTGCCCACGGCCAGCTTCCTGCTGATGAACATGCTGTTTGTATTGTTTTAGGAAACCAGGCTGTTTTGTGAATAAAACGAATGCATGTTTGTGTCACGAAGCACCGCTGGCTTCTTGCTCTCCGGTTTGAGGGGGCTGGCTTGGGGGCTGTTGCTGGGCAGGGGTGATGTGGAGCCACCCTGGGAAGGAAGAAGGATGGCCCGGGGACACTGAGAGTCGGGATCTCTTGGGGAGTCAGGTCTGGCAGATCCTGAAAGGGGGGGGGTCAAGCAGAAACAGCCAGCCCGGCTGGCGTGGTGAAAGTGCTGTTAATCGGGAAATGGCTGGTTCTGGAACATTCTTGCCTGCCCGATTGTACCCTCTGCCTCAGAACCCGGACCTCCAGGGACCTTCTCTCACCTGGGGCCACCTTCTCTACTGTCGTCAGGGCCTGGCCAGTGCAGAGCAGCCAGCAGGACAGGAGGTGGGGCCCGAGCGGCCTGTTCGCTTTCTTTCGTTCTTTCTTGCAGGGATCTGTTGCTCCCCCAACCACTGAGGTGATCCCCAGGGAGCAGTTTTAACCCACATTTGTAGGGACCTGGCTGTGCCCAGAATGCACACAGAAAAACCCCTACCCCCCCGCCGCCCCCCATATCCCTCTTCGGGCCTGAGGGCGGCTGGACTGAAGCTGGGAGGGGGGTATCCTTGAGCGACTTTCCCCACCCCCAGAAAGTTTGTTGGCTCAAGGTTGTCTGCGACCTCGGAGGCCAGATGTCTGGGGAAATCACCACATAGCCACATGGTCTAGGCCAAGGCAGCCTGAACAGGAAGGGGTGACAGCTGCATGGCCCCCACCCCTGCACATCACAGAGGCCGGCCTGCAGGATGAGACCTATCATCCACTTGACGGGCAGACATTCTTCCCACCCAGCTGCTTGGAGCCTGGCTGAGATGGAGGCTAGACTGGAAGAAGGACTTCCTGACAATGTCAGGGGCCTCGCTTCAGGTGGGTGAGGGCTTTCTGGGATGAGGGAAGGGGCAACTTGTGAAGGTGAGTGGGCAGTGAGCTGGGGCAGATGGGCTGCCCGCCTCTGCCATTGTTCCTGGGAGGAGGAAAAGCAGCCTGTATTGGGTGGGGGCTCTGACCCCCAGCCCCCTCCCTGTGTCACAAACTCCCTTAGAGCACCGGGAGCTCAGCAGCCTGGCCTGGCACAGCGGGGGCAGGCGGGGGTGGGGGGAGGCAGCTTTCAACTCCAGCTCTGCCTGGGAAAAATTCCCTTTCATGTGGCTGCCTGTGATCTCTCCAGGCGGCTCTGCCGGAGGGGGGCGTCCAGCGGGGAGTAGGGGGAGGTGTTGCAGCCAGGGGCACCCTCGTCCCTTGCCCAAGGCACGCTGCAGCACCTCCGGATCCTCGAGTGGGCAGGGGCGGTCGTCCTTGGGGTCGGCAGGGTGGGCAGCCTGGCCAGCAGGGGGCACCCAGGCAGGAGGCCCCGGCCTGCCCCCCGCCCTGCTGCTGGCAGTCCACAGGCCGCAGATGGCCTCGGCCAGCCCTCGTTGGCATGCCTACAGGTATGGGGTGGACGGCTCCAGTGCCAGCCCGGAGGGGGTTGCTGGGACTCAGCCAGCCTGTACCTTTTGAGTGTGCCAACCCACAGCCCAGCCATGGCTCCTGGGCCTCCCCCTTGACACGGAAGCCCCTCACGTCTCCCAGTTTGGCCTCTGTGCTCCGCTTGTGGAAATGGGAGGCCAGCCCCTCGGTCTGGAGGAGGTCCAGGCAAGGGTGGGGATAGCTGTGGGCTGAACACATGATGAGACCTCAGTTACCTCATCTGGGAAACGGGGACAATAATTGTCTCTCCTCCATAAAGTCGCCTGAGGATGAAATGAGATCACTCTAGGGAAGGGCCTGGCTCATCATAAGCACTCGGTCAAATGGCAGCTGGTGCTGCTATTTTAAAGCTATTCACCTAAATCTCACCAAGATGTCCCCCCCCTTCTGCCCAGGCTGTGGGTCCTCCCTAAAGCCCTGGCCGCCTCATCTTCCGCTCCCACGCCCCCCTCCAGTGGGCTCGCTGCCGCCCCGTCCCCCCGCGGGCTCCAGCCCTGGCCAGGCCCTGCTCCGGCACGTCCACCTCTAACCATTTCTGTCTGGCTCGCTGTCTCTGAATCTCTCTCTTGATGGTCTCCTGGTTTCTGACGCTGTGTCTCTGTGTCTTGTCATCCTTCCACGTGTCTGAGTCCGTGCGTGTCTCTCCCTGTACCTAGCACCTCGGTGTCTTCTGTTGCGGGCTCACCCCTGCTGCTCTCCTGCTGACGGAGAAGTACTCAGAGCCAGGCTCCCTGCGGAGCTGTGCGCCCAATTCCCCTCCCTAGGGGTGCCCTCCGCTCCGCTCCGCTACCGTTGGGAGCCTGACCTCCTGGTGACCTGAGAGCCTTCAGCCCGTGCTCTCCTTCCGCCCCCCGATGGCAGGGGTGGGGAGGGGTTATGCGCAGCCATGTGCGCGTGCGTGTGTGTGTGCGTGAGAGACAGATTCCAAGGCCCTGACAACCGTGTGAGGCCTTGTGCAACAGTGTGGCTGTGTGTGACACGAAAGCAGGTCTGTGACTGTGTGGCAGGCTCTGGGAGACCTCATGTGGCTGCGGGTTAATGCACGATGTCAGTAGCCGCACATTGGGGTGCTCGGTGACATGGCACGTGTGATCCGATGACATTGTGCAGTCCTGTGGCAGAGCCCGTGTGATGTGTGCGACACGGGCCAGCTCCGTGTGTGTGACATTGGATCTGTGACACTGATGTGCGGCATGCATGGGCCTGTGACACACTGGGTGAGTCTCGGTGGTTTGTGACATTGTGTCTGTGTAACCATCATGGGTGTGGCCCTGAGACTGACGCCGGGGATTCCATGGCCGGTGACCAAGCTGAGACCCCGGGACACCCACTTGCACAACCCTGGGTGTGTGCTTGTGACATCGTGTGTCAACGTGCACCTGCGACCCTCTCAGGGATGCTGACACTGTGCCGTGTGTGGCTGGACGTGCAGCATTGCCTGGGCCTCTGCCCTCACAGCATGCAACTCTAAGGACAGAGTGGTGTCCCCGGCCGCCCCTCTTCCCTGCAGCCTGGCCCTGAGGCCCAGTCTGGGGCGGGGGGGGGGGGAGCTGGCGTGGGGGCAGCAGGCGCAGTTCCCACGGCTGCCACGGCCCCTCTCCCGGCCCTACCACCAGCTCCAGCTCCACAAAATCTCCTGGCAACCCCAGCCTCTTTGTTCTCTGTGGCCGCCAAAGGCCTCTCCCCACCCCAGCCTGCCCAGCGCCTGCCAGGCGCCCCCTCCCCTCCAAAGCCGCGGGGCTCGGCCTGACCTGGTCCCCCGGTGTCCTTACACCGCCCCCCGGCGCTGGGGCCCCTGTCTCATACCCTGACCGGACTCGGCACCCCGGCTGGGCCCCAGGCTCTGCGAGGAGCTTGCTGCAGTCCTGCTGTACAGCAAGGAGGAGGTGGCCCGGCCCATGCAGCGGCCAGGTGTTTGCGGGCCGGGAGCTGGGCTCTCCGCACGGGCACGTCCCTTTGCCCCAAGGCTGGCTGGGGGCTGTCTTCGGTCTGGAGTGGTGTCCGATTGTCGAGTAAGTTTGCTTCTTTGGCTTCAGAAAATCATCAGGATAGGGATTGTTACTACCTATTTTACAGATGTACAGCTGAAGCCCAGAGAGGGTATGTGACGTGCCCAAGTCACACAGCAAGATGGTAGCAAGGGTCTGATTAGAACTCGGGCTTCTGGCCTCCACCCCTTGCACCAGGCAGCTGTGGGAGGACCGTGTGCCTCCACAGAAGGGAAAGGGGACCTGGGAGTCTGAACACATGGGGCCTCTTCACTTCTTGGTCACCATGTGTCAGTGTGTGTGTGTGTGCGCGCGCGCACGCACGTGAGCACGCATCTGCATGCACCCTTGATGGATGACCTTGGCCAACCACCCTTGCCTGTCTGTCTCTAGGAAAGAAGGGATTGTGGGGTGGGGCGGGGCACTTGGCGGGGTGCTTTGCAGAGCAACAAGTTCGCCTCACGTGCCAAGACCCACAGCATCTCCAGCAGGGACAAGGGGCTGTTGGCCCAGGGGGCAGATTCCGACTCGGGGCCTTAGCCTCTCTTCCCAGGCTCGACTTAGCTCTATGCAGTCACAAAGGAGGTGGCGATGGCCACCTGGCATGGCTGCAGTCAAGGCTGCTTAGGCCTGACCTGATTGCAGCAGCAGCTCCCAGGTGCCAGAGATGGATGGATGGAGGTCATTGTGCAGCCCGCCCGGGTCCCCCACTGCCCACCCGTGGCCCTATGCTGACAGGCCGTGCTGACAACAGCCAAGGTGAGGGAGGGACAGGCAGCCACCAGCATGTTAATGATACAGATCTTGGCCCAGGCACCCTGCAGGCAAGTAATGGGCACAGAGAGGCCCAGCTGCCCCCCAAGGTCACACAGCCCTGCAGGGAGTCCCGTCCCCAGAGGTCCACATCTTCCCTGAGGGCCCCTTGAGGGCTCTTCGTGCCACACAGAATGGAGAATGGCTGGGGAGGGTGGGGGGGGCTGCAGGAGGGTCCCCCCGAGGCCCCGACCCGGCTGCCAGAGCGGACACTTTCATCTCTCTTCGCCTGTCGACCTGCCATCCCTCAGCGGCATTAAATTCCCCTCCTGCCAGAGAACAAGGGCTGCCTCAGATTCCAGGCAGCAGGGCGTGAAGATGGGGCGGGCCCAGGGGAGGGGAGCGGAGGTCCTCCAGGGCTCCAGGCCTGGGTGCGGAGTGACTGGGGGGAGGGGGGAGGCTGGGGCTGGGGGCTCTGGCAGCCAGCTCCCCGGGCCTCCTGATGCCCCACGATGGGTCAGATGCAGCTCCATTGCCTGCTGCCTTCTCCCTTCTGACTGATGCCTTCCTCTTCGGGTGCTACCTCCTCCGGGGCCCTTTGGACCCCAGCCGGCCAAGTTTAGTGCCCCTGCGCCACCCCCATCACCGTCCTGATCACTCTGGGTAGCATCACCTGGCTTCAGGGCTATGGCCGGCAGTTGAGTGGGGGTGGCATTGGAAACCTCTGTGGGCTGAATAAACACATGATCTCTTCTTTCTGGGGCTTTTTTT